TAATTTTAAATAACATTTCGAATAATACTAGTTAATCTTTCTACTTGACTTTTTACCCTATTAAAATTAGAATTATTATCGCCAAACAAATTGCTAAGAGAAGTGTTATTAAAATTAATTGTGAGACAATCCAACTTATTACATTTATCAATCTTCAAACTAGTTAACTTTTGTTGCTGATCCTGCTCCTGTCCAGTACCGTAGATATATTGCTGAAATTAACAAAGTCATTAAGATCTAGCTCTCCTTCCAAAACAATATTATAGAATTGAAAATTTGGAGCAGTAAAATAGTTGTTTTTGTTTACACAATAAGCACAATTATATTGATGGACGTTATGACCACCTTGACATTGCCTGTAGATGTAAAGACTTGTTGCTTGTGCTCTTTTATTTACTGGAACTTTTCATTTAACCATTCGTTTGCATTTACTATATTGTATTAGATTATTACAATGTTAGAAGTTTTTATAAACTCTACTCAAAATTGTTCTCACTGGTTTACTAGTTAAACTATTGTTTGATTACTTAATAAAATATGCTTCTTATTTCAAAAAAACAAAATATAGTAACTCGTGTATGTACGTACGTACAGTACGTAACCGGTTTTTTTTTTTACAAAACTTTATAACGATAAATCATTATAAATTTTAATATTATGAACTATAAATCACCTCTTTTATGAATTCTTCGTTTTGTGATTTTGATCCATGGAGTATTTTAAGTGCAACGTTTCTATTATAATTTTGTTTTTTATCTACCCATTTCGCATAATATACAGTTGCAAATCCACCTTGTCCTATTCTTCTAATACCATCAAATTCTTTATATGTAATCCATGCTAAAGGATATTTTTCTTCAATTAATAATCTTTTTATTTCATCGTTAATATTAAAACTTTCATTTTTCCTCTCATCTAGGATAAATAATATATATTATTATTCAAATTACCTCAAGATTAAATAAATAATGACAATAAATAATGACTATTATTTTAAATTACCTAACATCTTATTTTTTTCCCTAATAATTATTTAAAAATATATATCATTAAAGATTATAATTACAGTATTAAAGATGAAATAAAATAAATAATTATTTACATTTGATACCAATAATTAGCCTTCTGTAAATCTCTTAATGTTCCAATCCCATTTCGATAACAATAACCAACTTTAGACATTCCAACAGAATCACCCATCTCAGCAGACTTTTGGTAATGAATTAATGCCTTATGTTCATCCTTTTCAACCCCATCTCCATTTTGATAACAATATCCAACTTGAAATATTCCATCAAGGCTACCCACATCTGCAGATTTTTGAAAATGAACAAATGCCTTATGTTCATCTTTTTTAACCCCTATTCCATCTCTATAACAAGTTCCGAGGTTATACATTGCAGCAGCATTTCCCATCTCAGCAGATTTTTGAAAATGAATGAATGCCTTATGTCTATCCTTTTCAACTCCTATTCCATTTAGGTAACAAATTCCAAGGCTACATATTGCACTTGCACTTCCCATCTCAGCAGATTTTTGATAATGAACGAATGCCTTATGTTCATCCTTTTCAACCCCTATTCCATGGCGATAAAAATCTCCAAGATTACTTATTGCATCCGCATTTCCCATCTCAGCAGATTTTTGATAATGAACGAATGCCTTATGTTCATCCTTTTCAA